TCCTATATTTAGTTTTCAATGCTGCTAGATACACTTACCAAGTTCTTACTGCATTTGGTTTATCTGCTGGAAAGAATGTACTGTAAAAGGAATGGATGAGGCAGGTTTTAATTTTCAAAAAAGTGATATCTAAAAAGATTGCATTACTTCCACTCTTTAATAAAATATAGTCATGTTTGTATCAGATTGCAAGTCATTTGTTTTCACCTTTTTTTATATATATCTCTTTTATTGGTCCTTTTCCAGTAAAGAAAAATGTCAGCTTTAGGTTACCAGATGTATAAAACAAAGTCAGAAAGCAGAGCAGAAAATCAAATACATATCTTAAATACAAAAATCACTACTTGCCTTAAAAATAAGATTGGGGCTGTGCATCTGACAGAGTACATAGTAATTTTATAGTTATTAGAATCTAATGAAACATAGCATAGAATAACAAGAATTCCTGATGAAAAGAGCCCAGAAAATGTTACTATGTTTGATTTGAAAGCTTTCATGAGGAAAATGCAATTACTGTACATTGCTTTATGATGGTCACTGTGATATGTGTATGTTCACACACACACACTAGTAGATATGTAAACATACACATATCACAGTGACCATCATAAAGCAATGTGCATATATATATATGTTTATATATAGAATTAGAAAAAGTTCTTTGCACTCACGTGATCCATATAAAAGCCGGTGCAAAAGCCAACTGACAAATGTAGATAAAGAACAAATAAAGATGAAGGCTGCACTCTTCGGTCTTCTTAATAAAAGTTCCAAAATGCTTTATTCAATATGCATTAAAAAGAATTGATCGACGTTTCAGCCCCAATCCAGGCTTTCCTCAGGATCAGAAATAACAAAAAAGTACATGACAAATAATTCAGCTTATATATCATAAGTAAAATAGTAAGACTCACCACAGATGATATGCACACCCCCCGGCGTTCTTTTTAATGCATATTGAATAAAGCATTTTGCAACTTTTATTAAGAAGACCGAAGAGTGCAGCCTTCATCTTTATTTGTTTTATATATATATATATATATATATATATATATATATATATATATATATATATATATATATATATGTAGTCGGGGAGTTATAGTAGTGGTATAAGTCGGTTGTGGTGTGCCAAAACTCACGTTCGGGTAGGCCTGTAAAAGAGGGCCCACTAAGTGAATGCTTAAAAAAGGGTGCAGTGGGTGGGCTGAACTAGAAAGTCTCAGCCCAGAGGAAGTGGAGGCCTGTGAATTTATAGGCTGGATAAACCACTCATCTACAGACTCCGCCTTTCCATTTATTGTACTTATTGTATTAGGGGACAATAAGCCGCGTTATAGTAGTGGTATAAGTCGGTTGTGGTGTGCCGAAACCAACGTTCAGGGAGGCCTGTAAAAGAAGGCAAAAAGTTAACAGTTTAATCCTTAGTATGTTATGACATTACATAACCAGTACTTTTAATGCCTGTCTCAATTCCCTCTCCGTTTGAGGGAAATCTGGTGTATGCAGACAATCCAATGTCCCAGTTTATGATGTGCGCTGGGATGTTTACTAAAGACTGCAGAAGCAGTGAGTATTCTAAAAGAATGACAATGAATATGTTGAAGGGTCGTATCAGAGATTTATGAATTGTGTCCTGACGTACAGGATGAATTTGACGTAGTGAGTGTTTAAAAGAAAGTGAATGCCTGTGTAGTCCTGTGAGTGTTGGACAATTTAATGTAACCAATGGTTTCAATGGAGTACTGATTGACGATTCGATATTCAGAAGTGAACTTATTAAAATGGCCAGAGTTCTGGCATATAAATGGTTGGTATAAGCAGAGAGCTGTGTGTGCCAGCAATCTACCATGACCATGAGATGAGATAACCTAGAATGAGATTTTGGAATGTAGGAGTTTTCGTATGTGGTTAAGTAGCTGTGGAATGTTTGGACGAATACTTGAAATGGGATTGAGACAAGGATTCAGCTGCTATGTTGTGACAGGCTGGTATGTGTATGCAAACAAGGTAAAATTGCTGTGTTGCTGCCAGCCAAGTACAACTTTCCATACTGCCCCATAGAGTGCCCCAGGCAGTGGCCGAGATGGAGTATACTACAATGAGACCTGAAGGTTACTAAAAGAGTAGGCTTTGTGTCTCTGTGGGCCATGTGTCACAGAACCAGTTTTCCTTGGTAGCTGCAAACCCAGTTTAAAATAACAGGGGAATCATTGGTCAGTGGGGGAATGAACTTTTGCCAATGAATGACTCTGTCTACCCTGACATGATTATACACTGTCCGCGGGGTGGGCAGGGCTGTATTGACAATAAGTCAAGATGTACACCTAGTAATATTATAGGTATAGGCCTATGGTATATCTTGGGCTAGGGGAATACCCAGGATGAAATGGGGCCGTATGCTTGTGAATGCTCTAGAGTATAGCAATTGGTTCCTCAACAGTCAGAAATGTGTCATGATAATGTATTGTTGTATAGCAGTCACAGACAGTCAATAGCAGCTATGAGAGGGTTACCACAAATACATTGAATAGTTAAGGGCTGCTATAGATCCCAGACATGAGACGGATGGCAAATAAAATGCCCCTACAATTTAATACTGTGCCAATGCCACAGAGACCTCCACTGTGGCATGTTGCAGGAAACTACTTTGGAGTGAAGTCAGGCAATCTACAAGGAGACCAAACTGATGTCTTTGCCTACCAAAATGTACTTTTTAATGACGGAAGATTTAAATGTGCTGGTGAAATAACGTGAGCAGAGAGAGTGTGTGCCTGACTGTAACTTGTGATGTTACCCATAGTGGATGAAAGTAAAGGGTACATAGTGAAATACTCTGTGTGAGGGTAAGGAACTCGTGAGTTAGGAGACTCTAATTCTCCAGACAATCATATAACATAATTTTGATGAAAGGATGGATGTCATTATAGTATGCATCTCTGCCATGCTGTCTGTGATATTTGCAGAGATACCCAGCTGGGGAGCTCAGAGTTGACAATCATGAGTCTGTACAGCTCAGCTTCAGTACTGTCACTGGGAAAGATAAGTCTTTATGCATGGGTTCGGCAGAAATTAGGAACTGTGTAAGTGGTATCCTGGCCAGAGTACAATGGGCTAGCTGAGGTGGAGGGTCTGGTGGGTACTTGAGAATGAAATAGCCTCTTCTAGTTCCATGGTGAGAGACATACTATGATGAATAAACAATGAGTAAATGTAATGGGCATCTCGAGTGTAGCCCTGTATCAACTGGCATCTCGCTAAGAAATTAGCTTTACAAAAGGAAAGTGAGGCCTTTCTAAATAACAAGTGGCTCAGAGAGGCTCTAGCTGTGTTTTTGGCCAATGGATTGAGGCCACCGAAAGAAGTGGCGTGAATGTTGGCCCCTCAGTGACAAGTAATAGATTCAAATAAGTGGCCCTGACAGGTGAGGCCCTACTTAATAACATGTAGAAGTTGGAGCAAGGCTCTAGCTATAAGTTGAGCCAATTCGTGAATACCTCCGTGTGAGGATGGGTGTTGGCCTCCCGGGACTGAATTATGAACATAAGAGAAAATGGCTCGAAACAAACCCTTTGCAGCCAGTTGATCTATCCCTAAGGAATGTAGGGGAATAGAAACGTAATGGATTGACAGAAAGTAGGGGGGTTGTAAGTATTCACCTCGGAGCTGGTGGCAGAGTTCAAGTCCTTCGCTCTCCAGGTGGCTGATAGCCTCTTGCTCCTGTTGGCCTTTTGCCCAGCTAGGCCCTGCGTGGGGGTTACCGTAGCTTGTTCGGTATTTGTGCCCGAAGGGGAGTCACACGCCTCTCGTCCCTTCTTCTCTCCGTGCTCTCTCCTGCCCTGAGCTGGTGCAGCCATGATCTGAGCTTCCAGTTGCACCCAGAAGTGGGCAAAGATATCATCCAAGCGTTGCAGCACATCAGTCCGGCACGCTGAGCTTGCCCACAGACAATACTTGTTGCTCGGAGGGGAAGGCTCGTCTAGCATTTTGAAGGGGAGCACAGCAGTCCAAATCCAAGCAGAAACAGCCTCTTACAATTGATAGTGTAACCGCTGGTTTACCACTATAATGTCTTAAAGCATAGAACTTAGTAGGGCTAACCATACAGATATCTTAGCCATAATTTTATATAGTGTAAGAGATCCTCTATTTAACATATATAAATAATTGAGAATACAATATAAAATAAGGATTGTCTTGGAAGCAATCGTTTTGTCTTTTGGATATTTATTATATAAAAATATAAAATCCATTATAGCAGAGTTTATAAGATTAAATTACATGCTTGCAAATATCATTAATAGGTTAACATACCCTTCTGAACATGTCATCATGTCAGCCTCTCTGTCATTTTAAGATGGAGCAGCGTCTGTCTCCAAGTCTCTCCTCTGTATCTTAACATTTAAAAGTACACCTATTTATACCTTAGGTGTCTCCATTTTAGGTTCCTTTATTCAAATATGAAAAAGTAACACTTATTTTACTTTATTCAATTTAGGACCTCCCTTAATTTGGCAAACATACAAGGCCATAACTAAAGGGTGTATACATCATGGAAATTTTCCTGACTTAGTTCAAGATGGCATCTTAAAGTCTGAATAGGTTATCTGGTGTTTATACTAAGTCGTAAGTGTACAGTCGTGGGAGATTCACGGATTTGGGGAAGTTCCATTAACTTGGGGTTACCACAGTATATTGTGTACTGCAAGAGTCGTAGCATAGCCTTGAAGCTTGTTTATGCATTATTGTTATTGTAATTCGTCTGGGACAAAATGGCGCAAACATATTATGCACTGAGGTTATTGCTTAAAGAAACAGTTATGAAAAACAATATGTTCCATTTCTAACACCTTGTCAGTTTGCAATATCTCTTAAAGACAAAGTACACAGTTTAAGAAATACAACATTTCATTCTAAAACTTGTAATATTTGCATTTGCCCATAACAATAGAGGTAAGTGGAGTTGATCAGTGGGGACAGGGATAACTAGGCATGTGCACGGGGAAAATTTTCGGTTTGGCATTCCGCAATTCGCGACTTTCGCAATTCAGGACTTCCGCAATTCGGGACTTCGACACTTCGGAACTTGGGCAACTTCGGCACTTTGAAATTTGGGAACTTCGGCATTTCAGGACTTGGGCACTTCTCTTGCAGCCGCTTAGTAGATAACTCCCTAATTCCCATTAGGGAGTTATCTACCAAAAGGCTGAAAGACCTAAATTGGTCTTTCAGCCAAATTTACTAATACTAAGTAAAAATTACTTAATATTAGTAAATTTTGCCCATAGTGGATGAAAGTAAGGGGTACATAGTGGAATACTCCATGTGAGGGTAAGGAAGTCGTGAGTTAGGAGACTCTAATTCTCCAAACTGTGGCTGCTCGCTGTTAAAAAAAAAAAAAAGAAAAAAAAAAAAAAGGGTGATTCCTCCCGATCCCCCACCCGTGACGTGCGAGTGGGGGCTTTTAAACTAAAGGGGTGACCTATTGCCCCTCCCCGGCCAGTAGGGGTCGCTGTTTGTGTGGAGAGAGGCAGGGATGAGAAGTTACAGCATCTCCCTCCCTGCCTCTCTCTACTCACTGATCCGCAGGGAGCAGCTCTGCACAGAGAGTCCAGACAGCAGCTCTGCGCCTGCGAGACATGGGGACGGTGAGAGACTTAGGGACGCTGAGACATTGGGACACTGGGGAACATGGGGACCCTGATACACTAGGGACACAGTGACCCCATGTCTCCCAGTGGCCCCTAGTCTCCCAGTGTCCCTGGTGTCTCTCTGTGTCCCTAGTGCTTGTGTCCCTAGTCTCCCTGAGTCCCCTATTCTCTCAGTGTCCCTATGTATCGCAGTGTCTCAGTGTCCCCATGTCTCACAGTGTCCTAATATCTCTAAGTGTCCAAGTGACATTGGGACATTGGGACACTGGGAGACATGGGGACACAAACTAAAGGACACTGGGAGACATGGGGATACAAACACTAGGGGACACTGGGAGACATGGGGACACTGAGACACTAGGGGACACTGAAAGACATAGGGACACAGGGAGACATGGGGACACTGGGCGACTTTGAGACCTGGGAGACATGGGGCACTCCCAGTGTCCCCATGTCTCCCAGCCAGTGTCCCTAGTATCTCCGTATCCCCATGTCTCCCAGTGTCAGGTTTATAAGCCGGTTTATTGGACAACGCAACATTTCGACCTGGACCCAGGTCTTTATCAAGTCTCCAGTGTCACCTATGTATCACAGTGTCCTCTATGTATCACAGTGTCCCCTATGTATCAGAGTGTCTCAGTGCCCCATGTCTCCCAGTGTCCGTAGTGTCTCAGTATCCCCTAGTCTCTCAGTGTCCCCATGTGTCTCAGTGTCCCTAGTATAGAAGAAAAAAAATCTCAGGCACTCAGTGTGCCAGTGTCCCTAGTGTCTCGGTGTTTTCTAGTCTCTCAAAGTCCCCTAGTCTCCCAGTGTCCCCACGTATCCTAGTGTCTCAGTGTCCCCTAGTATAAAAGAAAAAATATCAGGCACTCACTGTGATAGATTTAAGCAGGTTTATTGGACACTGCAACGTTTTGACCAATACACAGGTCTTTATCAAGTCTCCAGTGTCCCCTATGTATCACAGTGTCCCCTATGTATTACAGTGTCTCAGTGCCCCATGTCTCCCATGTCCCCTCGTGTCCCAAAGTTAGTGTCCCCATTTCTCCATGTCTCCCAGTGTCCCCAAGAGTCTGTGTCCCCAGGTCTCCCAGTGTTCCCTAGTATCTCAGTGTCCCCATGTCTCCCAGTGTGCCAATGTCTCTCAATGTCTCCTAGTGTCCTAGTGACATGGGGACACTGGGAGACATGGGTACACAGACACTAAGGAACTGGGAGACATGGGGACACAGACATGCCCCCTTTTTGTGTTTGTTCGCTCCTTTCGTCAGATTTGTGTCAGTGGCCCACCCTTTTACCCCATCCATAGACTTCCTGCTTTACTGGACACTGCTGTTAGGGGGTATGGGTTTACTTGAACATGAAAGCATGAGATTAGCATAGGGTATGTATTTTCTCATAGCTGCATCCTATGAGTTTTCCAGGAAATTCTTTACTTGTGCTATTTTTTATTGTTAGATAACTGAAAATTTATTAGGATGTGTGGTGTATGTGTGTCTTATATAGGATAGATGAAAGTGTTGTAGCTATGTGTGAAGTGTATGTTGTGGCTTTTTGTGCATGATGTATAAGGCTGTGTAATGCGTGTGTAGCTGTGATTGAAATGTTTGGGCCACTGTGAGTGTTATGTGTGGCAAAATGTGATGTGTAGAAAATTTATGTGGGAAGTAGTAAATTTTTCATTTCGTTCAAGATGGGAAGGGAGATTCAAGTTAGCTCCCCATCAACCCAATATAGCTGGGGGGTGGGGGAGTAATGCTTTAAAGGCAGCAGTGGGGGGCATAAGTGGTAGGTTAGGGGCAGTATTGTGGTGATTAGGATCTGTAGTTGGGGTGGGGGGTTGGTGGCTCTATTAGGGGGGACAAGAGCTGTATTAGAGGGGGGAAGGGGCTGTAGTGGGGGGGTTAGGACCTGCAGTGGGGGCTGCATTGGAAGGTTAGTGGCAGTTTAAAGGGGTTTAGGGGCTGTAGTGGGGGTTATGACTTGCACTGGGGGATGGGGGCTGTATTGGGGGGCATGGGCTGTATTGGGGGGTTAGTGGCAATAGTGTCAGTGTTAGAACCTGTAGTGGGGGGATTTGTGGCAATCTTGGGTTAGGGGCAGTAGTGATAGTTTGGGGCAGCAGTGGGGTTTGTGGCAGTATTGGGGGGGTTAGGAACTATAGTGGGGTGTTAGGGACACTAGTGGGACCTTAGGACTTAGGGGATAGTTTAAATAAATATATATATATATATGTGTGTATATATATATATATATATATATATATATATATATATATATATATATAGTGTTTTCCACCTCCCTGAGGCTTACCTTTGCCAGGGAGGGGGAATCTGGCTCCCTGGTGGTCCAGTGGGAAATGCAGCCCCTTCCGGTCGGTGCCAGGAAATGCATCAAAGCGTTGCCGTGGTAACCCATGGCAATGCTCTAATACAGCTTCGGCAGGCTTTTCAGAGCAGCAGTGCCTCTGTCCTCAGTGCCAAGCATCGTGAATCCTGCTGAGGCATATGTATAAATGCCACATGTGCGCCCTAGGCCAACACCTACTTGTCCTATAGGCGGCGCTGGTCCTGGATTTAGGGCGGCGTGGGGGGCAATTGCCTCTCTGCCCCCCATCCCAGCCTGCCCGTACAATTCAGGTTGATCAGACAGAAGACTCTGATCAAAAAGACCACAGAAATGATAAAGAGTTAAATATTAAATAGAGATAAGTGGTATAAATGGTCAAATTTTAACAAAACAGTCACAAACCTGACTCCAAAAATATGAACAGCTCTTCTGTGCTGATCAGAGTGATCACAGCAATAACACTGTGATCAGCAGTGAAAGGGTCTACTAACAAACTTTGTGTTCACTGTAAACGTAAAAAAAAAAAAAAAAAAAAGGAAAGCAGCATACTCTGTGGGAAGTTGGCATTAGTTGTGTCACTGTAATTGTGATCATGTGATTGGCAATCACCACAATTACGTGACACAGATTGAGGTGACTTGCTCCTGGGGGAGTTCTTTAGTTGCCAGGCAACTCCCCCAATTGGATCTGTCACTTTAAGTATGCCTGGGAGGGGCGTGGAGGGGTCAAGGGCATGTCCTTATGCCATAGCCAGGACACAATGACACATCTGAACATCGCAACTGGTTTAGTTGTGTTCAGCTTTTCTTCAACCCTGATCAGCCATCCAGTTCCCACCACCATGCTTCACCTTTGAGATGGTAATTGATGAGCAGTGCCTGATTTTCTCCACAAATGACACTTCAGATTGAGGCCAAACAGTTTAATTCTTATTTCATTAAGACAGAGAATCTTTTTTCTAACAATGTTTGAGTCCTTCAGGCATTTCTTTTTGTTGCAATTTCCAAGGAGGCTTGTGTGTCCGGTAATGTGACGTTTCCATCTGCTCAGGCTTCCATAAATGCCAGAAGAGATAGTATTGCAGATGTCTCCTGGGTGTGGACTGGAAGCCACAGTTATTTTAATGGTCTCCACTTGTGGGAACAGATGCGGGCAGGGGCAGGAAACACGATGTACCACCCAGGCAATTATTTTAAAAGATGACCCACAATGAGGACAAGAGGGACCTGTGCCAGTTTCTTCTTTATTAGATTATTGAATAGCTGCCCAGTCTTTTTTTTCATAACAGGGAGCAGCCACTGACTGCTCTGTTTAGTATACATGCCCCTAACAGGCGAATAGGGGCAGGAGAGATAATTCAACCTCATATTGATCCCCATAGGCCAAGATTGAGGATTTAAATATTAGGAGGGATCAGTGAGCTCTTCACTTGTAAGTGCAATAAACAAATGGAAGATAAAATTGCATGGATGCAATTTCATCCAACAAGCAATTTGTTCTTGGTTTCATTCTTTGTAATTGTTATTTGTATTAGTCCATTCGTCTTTCGGAATAACTGCCAAAAATGATGACAAAAACATGTTCGTCTGAAAATTAATGCCCAAGTCTAGTAAATATCTGTATCTGTGTTTTATATCTATGTACAAGATCCAACCCACTCATACATTCACTTAACTGCATTTTCAAAGCTCACAGAACGTTATAGTTTTTTTTAAAAACACCTAACCTAGGCAAAAATATTGGGGGTTTAGTTACAGAATATGATCATACTGTGCAAAAGCCTGCCACAATACCAATGTACCCCGGGTGCCTGCTCT